CAAATGCACATGCTAAATCATAAAAGTATTTTTTGTCTTGTGCCTCGTATATTGGAACGTTGCTCGATATTCTCATGGACTGTCTCTTAAATAAATGAGTATAATCATATTTTAATGACTAACAGTCTTGCACATATATTAGTAAATTATACTATTTCTAAACGTTATTTTTATAGACCGATACTTATTTCTCGCTACATAAATTATTTAACACTTTTAAATGAAATAGTGTGAATTATTACGATTATAATATGAAAGATTATTTCAATGTGATAGTTCTATAAATAAAAAATTCATTATAGCATATTTATTAATTGTTTAATTTCATCAGTATTATCTAATATTATTGATATAATTTTCCAGAAGCTTATCTATTGTTGTTTTTCTCTCTCTTAGACATAATTAAATTTTCATCGCTGCATCAGACGTATTATAAAAATAATTCTTTGCCGAAGAAAATTTTTTAATGAAATTTTAATTAATTGTCCTTTAGATATATTTCATATTAAAATTTATATTTATTCTTTTCAATTTGCACTTAAATATGACACTTTTTGAATTGACATGGTTTCCGATAAAAGAAAACTTCATCAATGAGTCTTTTATTACTATTATCTTCTATAATCTGTTTTTGTATCTAAAGAGTTACTAATAGAAATTCATACTGTATGTCTGTTATAATAATTAATCATATTTTTAATTGATCTATAGATTTTATACTTATTATTTATTATGAAGTAAAATAAATGATGTAAATAAAAAATGTTCACACAAGCACACAGCACACGTACATTTAGAATTTAGTCTCTTATAATTGATTGAACTATTTTGGTTTAGCACAGAAACCAGCTGTTTGATTGTTGCATAAATTGTCGTAACAACATAAATAATGTTTGGCATCGCATTTAAGATTCTTATCGATTGATTCACCAAAACCGAAACCACCGCGGGCAACAGCAATACCTGTCTTTGGATCGAATTTCTATTCAATAAAAGAAAATAAATAAACTCTGGAAGATAACAAAAATATTTTTATTTACAGTAAAACAGTATAAATTCTTGCCACCAAAAGCACCTGATGTACGAATTTCAGATCCATCAAGTTTTTCTGGTTTACAATTTTCAGCTCCTTTACATTGATAACATGCTTTTACTTCTTTCTTTGTTGTTGCTTTAGCTATATTAGAAAGATAGTTTTTAGTTATATAATATAGAAGTAACAAAACTTAATACTAACGTGTTGGTGGGCAAGGAGCTTTGGCATGTTTGTTACAAAAGGCTGTACGACAACATACATGAAAACGATCACGACATTTAAAATTTTTATCATATGTTTCACCAAGTCCAAATGCACCTCGTTTAACGACACCACCAGTTTCGTTGAATTTCTTAAAATATAAAAATATATTGTTATTATCTTATAGATATTTTTCTAACTATTGATATAAAATTATGAACAGTTATAATTAAAATATTACCGTATAACATGTTAAAACGGCAGCACCAAAAGCTCTTGAAGTTTTTGTAGCATATTTTTCAAATGCAACACCATTACATTTTGTAATCTTTTCACCGATGAATTTTAATTTGCTAGATGGATTCTTATCGTCACATTGATAGCAGATCTTAGCACAAGCAACTTGTAACTGAACTACAGTTACTATAAAAAATAGAAACTTTTATTTATAATATCTTTATTATAACTTACAATACAAAAAGATAGTAAGAAGAAAAACTTTCGATATCATTTTATTGTATATAAGGAGATATGCTGGTATATTCAAGATAGAATCTTATAGTACAGCAGGCAAGATAATAGTTAACTGATGTATTATATACTTTCTGTCTCTCTAATGTTAATGTCAACAACTACATGATAAGCTTCAAGGCCACTGCCATAAATGATCTATTGAGTATATATGTGCGATACAATCATTCGTTAACGACGAAAGTATGTTTTATAGATGACAGTTAGAAAATAGACACTGTGATGATAGATAACAGATTAGTTTAGCCTATAAATATGGTAGAATAAACAAGATATAATTGCTTTAATTCTTCATTTTTCTTTTTTCAAATCATGTTCATAATGACGGAAAAAAACAAGGAAAAAAGTAAAAAGAACAAAACAAAACAAAATCGATATAATTATCCATCAGGTCGATTTACGTGGCAGATGACTCTGAAGATAAAGATAAAATGACATATCTTAATACTTATAATTATGATAATGGAAAATGGGAAACATATTTACACGTACTGGTGGAGTTGTGCGTAATAAGCAACATTTACCACGACCTGCACCACCAATTAATTGTAATGTTCGAATCTTCATTAAGTTTTTACTAAAATAGGAGAAAAAAAAGATATGGATGGTACTTAAAATTGTTTCTTTCAGTAAGACAAAGCAGATTTGATATGAATAAGATAGGTCATGTTAACCTTATCCAAATGAAATATTACTGCGCATAAATGTCTCTTATATTCGTATAAAATTAGATATATCATATAAAAAAAACAAATTATTTGTATATGGTTTCATGACTCTAATTACAATTAATTTTGTTTAGTAGTAGTATTATACATCAATCAAAGTGAAACATAGAATGTATTGAGCTAATACAATTATAATGTCAAAAATATCAAACTAATTTTATTTTTAACATAGAATAATCTATAGCTTAAAGAACTTATGAGAAATTAACAGAATCAGTTTGTAGTAGAATAATAGTTTTAAAATATGATTAAAATAGAAAATCTTTTGTTTTTTGTAAATATATGTATCTGATAGAAGTCGTCACTAGAGATAAATCTTACTTGATGTCATCTGTTTCAGCTGGATGAATTTGTCCATCGTTATCATGTTCTTCGAAAACAACTATAATAGAGTAAATACGATGAAAATGTTTTGTATAAAATTGTTTTGGAAAACATACGCGCTTGTTTATTAACTGCTGCAGATCTGTGATCATTTTTTCTTGTCATTTGACTTATATCTTCAGTATATTTTAATTTATATATATCATGATCAACTTCTTCTTGTTTGGTATCATTCAACTGATGTGTAACACATAATGATGGTGTTGATGTTCTTAATAAAAAAGTCATAGTATAGAAAACAAAAATTATTTTGAAAAAAAAATACAAACTGAATTGATGATAAGTTAATAGTTTGTTCACTAGAAGTAAAAATAATATATGTATAGTAATAAATAATATCGTTATTATTCACCTATTTGCAGCACTTTTTGCTCGTCGTTCACGAATATCATC